TTTTTTTTTTTTTTTTTTGCCAATCTTCCCTTTATTGTAATATTTTTACTGAACTTTGTTCAAGTCCCTTTGGCTGTAGTTGCTTCATTTTTTGTAACTGGCTATCTTATTTTTCTAAAATAGTTCTTGTTTTTGTATTTGTTCCCTATTTAAGAGAGCAATCATGGGAAATGGGAAAATACAGTTAAATACAAAAGATGCAAACCAAACCTTCCCATGGAAGGCAAAATCACTGTTAACATTACCACCTTTGTTTGCCTGCACTCAAGTAGTTCCAGGGTGGTCACGTCCCCTTGCCTCATTACTAACAAATTCATTCCCCTCTGAGGACAGTTCTTCAAAGGCTAAGCTGCATTTGATTCTGTCTTCTTTTCTTGGCCAGAGCAAAGCTTCATAGCTTATATTCATTTACAAGTTACTCAAACTAATGGGAGGTTATCTTTTCTATTGAATTCCTACATCCCACCTATTTCTTCTGCTCCCTTAACCTCTAACAACATTTAAGACCTTTATCCATGAGTGTGAGTGGGGAGCTTGTTGGGAAAGGGCAACTTTATGGTATTTTGCAGTAGCATTTCTCTCTTCTCTACAGCTACCAGAACCATGGGTTCCAGGTCCTCACAGCAGCACACAAGGAGAGTTTGCTCTCTGTCTGTGATCAATCGGATCTCACTGCCAGTGCAGCTTGCAGCCCTGGGTAGGAAGGGTGCCCCACACTTCTCATTGAGCCATTCTGTGCTTTATAATACCCACATTTGTACCTTCTGCTTATTCAAGAGAAATTTTCATCTTAATAGAAGAATCCCAGACCCACAAAATCCTATAATGTTGTACTAATTTTTTTTTTCCTAAAAAGAGAAAGAATACAGTGAAAACAATGTGTGGTGATGAAAGATTTCCAAGGCGACAGTTCCCTGGATGAAACATGAGGTCTTGCTTTGTAGCACTGTCCACAAGGAAGGCTCTTCATGGACATGCTGTGTCACTCACTTCAGTCTGATCCAGGACTGGACTGGCACATTGCCTTGTTGAAATTGGCATTGCACCCTGTGTAAGTGGGCATGCTGCCATCCTAATTGATGGGTATGATTGTGGACATGCTAGAGAACCAGTATGCACATCAGATCTGGGTTTCAACCCTGAAATATCAAAATGGTCTATTGTGCTGGCTTTGTGTGCCAGGAAAAAAGAGAGGACGGTATCTATGTCACTGCTATAGTTCAGAGTTGGATTTATTTTTAAAAGCCCCAAATAGCTGGAAAAACTAAGGCACAGCCTGAGAAAGAGCAGGAAGGGGCAAGGTTATTGACTTTCAAAGAAATAGATGGTACCTGCCAACTAAAGCACAAGAAGGTTGTTCATCCAAGCAGTGCCTGGATGACAGTACACAGGCAGACATAGAAATCAGAGCTACAGCATGGTGGGGCTCTCTGCACAATCACAGCAGAGACCACTGACTGTGGACAGACATGTTATTCTCTTCTTGGGAAAGGTCTGTTTCTGTTTGTCTCATCCCAGTGCAACACAGGATCAGCCAGCACAGGACCAAGTGTACCCAACATCCGTCACCCAACAGTGCAATTATCACCTTGTATCCTTTGTCAACTATATTTTTTGGAATGGAAGATTCCCTGAATTGGAAAGACAACTCAGTAACAACCTAATTTTAGTGCAGAAGAGAGAAATTTGACAAGATATGAATGAAGAAGTGTTCTGAATATGTGTTAGTGCTGACTAACCCGGTTTTCCTTTATGGCTGGCAGTGATCATCTCAAACAACCTGGTAATAAATGGACCAGGAGAAAGTTTTCTTGAAAGATTCCAACACTCAATAACGGACATATTGGGCCACCACAATACAAGATGAGGAAAATGACAATCACATCAAAAATTGATGGAGAGGAAATTTCCACATCAGCATAGTCATATGCCCTAGCATAGCACACGTGACTGAAATATGAAGAGGAGTTGGTTGAAATTCAAGAAACTACGTGTTTTAAGGCTTTAAAACTTCATTTTAAGCTGGATGTAGTGGTGCATGCCTGTAATTCCAGCACTCAGGAAGCTGAGGTAAGGGGATTTGCGTGAGTTCAAGGCCAGCCTTGGCTACATAGTGAGTTCCAGGTCAACCTGAACTGCATAATGAGACCCTGTTTCAAAAATTTTTTTTAAAATTCACTCTATGAATTCTCCTGTTAGTATTTAAATGGATTGACTACATACTGTGCTACCAACTCATCCATTTAGCCTTCTCCTGCTTTTGAAATGGCTGTCTTTAATCATAGAACTAGAAGAACCTATTGCTCTCACCTCAATTTTACATAATTTTTTCCTTTATAATTGTAGAAGTGCTTCATATTTTTCTAATACTTGAGTCATATAGTCTTGATAAAAAACTACATAGTGGTCAGAGTCAATGTAATCGTGTTTCTGTCACTTAGTTTTTCCCCAGTTTTAAGAAATTTGTTTTGTTTGTTTGTTTGATATATAATTTTTAAAAAAATCAACCCAAAAGAAACAGAATCAGGGTCAGGTAGTAAGAACCAAACCAAAATAATTTAGTTTCAGCTAAGTCAAAATGATTGGAAATAAGGTTATTTTTCTTGTATCTCAAGACCTCCATTATTCACATCAAGCCAATAGAAAGTGCTGAATTCAAGAACAAAAGTAAAAAAAAAAAAAAAAAAAGCCCCCTTATATTTTACTTGAGACAGTAATGAGAGAAGAGAAAGAAGTTGATTAGATTGAATTTGTTGAAAGGCAAGCAAAATCATTTGGGTCTAACTGCTGTGTTTCTAATGTCTTCTACTTCTGGATGTGTTCTACAATTCTTGCATAGAAACTTAATCTCTCACTCCAAGTAGTGCTCATTAGCATGACTTCCATATGTGAATATATTTTTTTATCTTGAGTGTAAATCTCATACATTTCCATCAGTCTAGTCAGCTTTCTGAACTGTCACTCGGTACCTCTTCACTCAAAAACAACCCTCTTCACAAGGAGCTTTGGAATGTTCCAAGTTGTTGGTTTGGTTCTTACTACCTGACCTTGATTAAATTTTTCAAGCATTTTCTCTTTGTAACTAATTAAAGGTGAGAGGATAGAAACAGGTCATTTTCCTCCTCAGTTTTCCTCACGTAATTTGCTAATTTGTCCTGGCTAATAACCTTTGAAATTTGAATTCCACAATTACTTCTGACATTCTAAGTGAGGCTAAGAAATAGCGCACCACCCAGCCTTTCCCTTTACCATGCCTGCTTCTGAAACAGAGTTGGAACACAATTAATGACTCATTGCATTCTGAGGGGTTTCTTTCACAATTCTGACTTCTCATACACTCAGCAACCAATTCTACACGGAAAGGCACCATTCTCCATGATGCTCATGGCTCCCAGTGCTCAGCCCTGTGTTTTCTAGGCATACCTCGTTGGACTCCATGGTTTCTGTTACTTGTGGGTTTCTTCCTGCATTGCTTGAACTTGACTCAGTGCATTTGCTGAGCAGGCCACCAACTGTTGGCATGTGCATACCATCTAGTACCCAAAATACTTCGAGTGAGTCTTTGGTACTTGAGGACCCCCAGTCCCTCCCCAGAGTGACTCCCTCCCTATACTCATCTGCTATGGATGATTTGGTAAAAAGTACTACAAACAAAGGAGCTTAGAACAGCAAAAAGCTATTGTCTCCTGTTTGTAGGCTAGAAGTCCAAAATCAGGGTGTCAGTGGTATCACTTTTACTCTAACTTGTAGGGCAAGGATCCTTCCTTGTTGGTTCCAGGTCTGGGAGCTCCAGAAAAGCGTTGGCTTTTGCTGGTGTAGCTCCAGTGTTTACATGGTGCACTCCTGCTTCCTCTTCACATTACCCTCCCTCTGTGATGTCTGTGCCTGGGTTAGATCATCTTCATCACCTGTATCTCTAAAGACCTTATCACCAAAGAAGGTCACATGCTTAGGGCCCCGAGTTCCTTCAATGAGTATTGCGAATGAAAGGGGAAAAAAGGAGGCCAGGGAAGGGCGGTCATCGGAAGAAGAGGAAAGGCCAAGTGAGGACGTCTGGAGGCGGGATACTGGTACATCCTGAAGTGGTCCATCTGAAGGCAGCCAGAACAGTGTGCACAGATGTGGTCAGAAGTTAAGGCAGCCCTCAGGTGGAGTAGAGCCTTGCAGGACATTGGAGGCTCTGAGGATGGGACTTTAGGTGCAATGGGAAATTATTTCATTTGGGAAGACATGTAGGCTTTTTGTAGGGAGACACATAAACTTTTTATAAAAGCCTACTCCGTCTTGCATGGAAACCAGATTAGAGAACAGGGTAGCAGTGAAATCAGAGAAGCTGATTAGAATGGGATCATTATTGTCCAGGTGAAGGCTGGTGGTGGCTTAGATTAGAGGAAGAATTGAAAAGGAGCAAGAAGAAGCTGATTCGGAAACTTTGGGAAAGAGAACATACAGGATCTGCTACTGGAATGGATGTCAGATAACAGCAAGTGAAAGGAACCTTTTGTATGGCTGAGTATCACCACTTCTTCCCACTCCGCATCTGGTCCTCTACAGGGACTGGCCTGTGTGCAGCACCTATCTGCTGGGCTGCAGTTCAGGCACCAGCTGCTCACTTAGCTGGTCCCACCTTGAATTCCCTGGTCATGAGGCAGAAATCCTGTAGGCTGGATCTACAGTTCTTAATGGCTGGGTCTCAGTCTTGGCTTCAGACATGGCTTCAGTCTTGGTGTTGTCAGAACTAGTTTTGGTATTTTGAGTTAATTCCCCTCAGCTCTCACCACAGTTAACCCTAGCTTCCTCTGCTTCCATGCCCACGTTTTGGCTGAAGCCTCCAACTGTGCTTAGGACCCTGAAATATTGACAAATGGTTTTTTATCACAGCATCCAGGTTGACAGCTGTACTTATTGCAAAAGACAGTAAGATGATAAGGCCTGACTTCTATAAGACAGAGTCATGTGATGTTCAGCAGGGGTCAGATGTCAATCCTCTTTAGGCAGTTAAGGAGGACTTATGCCATAGACCTAGGTAGGGCAGAGAAAAATCTCACGAACACTCCACGGGCTCTTTACCTCCTCTTTACCTTCAGTCCTCTCCTATGCATATAAGAAGACAGGCTAAGAAGGATGAAGGGATTTTAGAGTAGGGTATATCTGGCCAACTTAGAAACAGGCCTAGAGGAACAGAGAGGGGTTTTGTGCTCTTGGTCACTCAGAGCTGATGTGATGTCAGGGATGCTGAGAAGTTTGTTTCTTGAAAGAATAATCTCTTGATAAATGATAGCTATCCAGGGTGAATGCAAATATTTGCAGTTAAAGTAGTTCCCATTTCATGACTTGGTTAAGGATAAACAGTCCTTTCCACTGAAGTAGACTCCTTATTTCAATGAAACAATGGTTACGAAGAACCATGGTTATGAAAGTGAAATGTGGCATTATTTGTGTAGTTGCCACAAGCAGGTACTTCACACATATTACTTGTGATCCTGGTTTCACCCTATAAGATAGACTGGTTGTTTCCCAGCATTCCCTCTTTGTGTTAATCAGTTTTTTCTCAGTGTGGCAAAACAAAGGAAATAAAATGGAAGGATTTTTCTTGGCTTATGATTTTAGGGCTTCAGCCATGGTTGGCCAGTTGCATTGTTTGCCTGTGGTGAAGTAGTACATTATGGCAGAGGGGCATGGTGGGCCATCGTGGGTCATGTCATGGTGAACAAAAGCCAGAGAGGAGGACTGGGGGGTCAAATATATTCTTTGAAGTCATACCCCAGTGACCTACTTCTTCCAATTAAGCTCTACCTCATAAAGTCTCCACCACCTCCTACTGGTGCCTTTGGGTGGGAAATGAGCTTTCAACACATGAGCTTTTGGAGGATGAAAGTCAAACCATAGCACTGTCTTTGCTCTTAGGAAATGCTTCTTCTCTCCAGTTTGAATCATGTGAGTTGAGTAAGACCACAGAAGAATCCGTTCCTGAAATGTAGGACTTGGGAGAGAGAGCATGATGCCGGTCCTTTCTGGAGGCAGACAATTCAAGGTACGAGAGAAATTGCAGAAGAAGCTTACCTGTAGAAGAATCAGTGAAAGGTGGAAGAAATCCTGCCATTTCTCATAATTTGATTTTATTGCTTCCAATGAGAGCCCACATAAGTTTTCTTTAGTAAGTAACTTCATTTTTTATTATAATCCAGAGTTTTAATGTGAAGCTATTATCTCATTTTACAAATAAGAAAACTGTCTTGGAGAAGTGACAATTTGGGTGATGCCATCACATGGCCAGTTAGAGGTGGAGTCAACGTTTAGATCTGAGTCTCAGAGACTCAAAAAAATCCCATTGCACAGCCTCTGCAGACTTCTTCTAGAGTTAAATCCAGTTCTGTGCTATTTCAAGGAAACATATTAAAGCAAACTGCCATTAGTTGAACATAAAAATTAGGCAAAGATAATTAGCCAAATGTAAGCAAATAACACAAGAAATTGTTATGCATTTTAATGCAGAAACCATTAAATAGTACAATGAGCTATTTTATATTGATCTTAAAATACTGTACACAAAGAAGATATAATAGCGAAAAACTATTTTATTCCAAACAACAGTGATCAAAACATATTAAAACCAAAAAGTCAAAATGCAAGAATTATTAAAACCACAAATGTTAATCAGAAACTCATAGTTCTCAAAACTTGGCAGATCAAGTGGTCAGACATGTATAATATTATAGAGAATTTAAATCACAAATAATTAATAGGCTAGCCAAAATACAGAAATTAGACATTTTTTCCAAATCTCCATGGAACATTTAAAAATTTTGTTATGTATCAGGTATGAAGAAAATCTCAGTAAACTTAAAATATTGTACATAGCCACATTCTCTGATCATTCTGCAAGAAAATTAAATGTTAAACATAAAATAGATCCCAAATAAGTTTAACTACATGGAAGAAAAGTCTGTTTCAATAAATAAAAAAAAATACTAGGCAGAATGAGGTATACATCTACATGTGTGGTTTTGGCTCTGTTGTCACATTACACTAAATTAAAAATAACACAGGTTATAGAATGTTTATAAAACAATCTAATTTTATATATCTAAAAGGATATTCATCCATATGATATTAAATACATAAATAAGTTTCCTGGAAAAGTCACAAGAAACTGTTGACATTGGCTATGTCAAGGTAAGTGTCAGAGGTAGGAGCAGGAATATTATAGGAAACTTAAACAACACAATTAACAAGCTGAACATTAAACAAAATTTCCAAATTCCCTTGAATATTTTTAAAGGTATATTATATAGCAAATCACGAAGACATTTTAACAAATTCTACATTATTTATACTGTTTGGATTTTCCTTCAATCTAAAGAAATGTAAGATAAAGGGCATTTTATAAAGTTTTAATTTTTAAATTAATCACTAGGGCAGAAATATAAATCTTCCAAATTATTTTATGAGGCACACACAAAGCAACAATGATAGTTCAAATATGGGAAATAGTTTTAAATCCATAAAATTAGAAAGCATATATATTTTTAAAAAATGACAGATAGTGTAAATGAGTTAAATTCAACTATTAATGAAAAAGTTTGGAAAGTTGGATTTAAAGAGAATATATTTTTGTGCTGTGTATATAAAGAATGATTTGAAAATCAGCATTTAGGAAAAGTTTAACAATAAACGAAGAACAAAGTTATGCCATGAAAATATAAGCAAAATTGCAAGGGTCATCTTACTATCAGAAGAAGAACAGAAAGGACTAAATAAGGAATTTTCTGATGCTAAAGAATGTAATTCATTATGAAGATATGTACACATGGATAATTGCATAGAAAACTATATTCTCTGTAGTTGATTCTAGAAAAGGTGGTTACAAAGATCAATTTATTATTTTAAAAATAAGGCAGTCAAAAATCTAACTCCAGCCCCTCTCTAAAATGTTCTTAGATAATTTCACATAGTACTTTAAATACATTTCAACAAGAAGACAATTCCAATGCTATTGAGATTGTTCACAAGGTACAGGAGGAGAAGGAAAGCCTCCACATTCTTTAGATGAACCCGGCATGACACAGCAAAAAGTATCAAAGATTGCACATAAAAAAGAACTATATGGCAAATTTATTTAGGAAAATATTCTAAATCCAATATTATTAAGGAGGTCCCAGTAGCATATTGAACTAATAATATACCATGACTACTGAGGTTTGATTTAAGAATATAAGAAAATTTTAATCTGTAGAAATATTTCAAGTAATTTCCCATATTACGTAAGGAGAAAAACCATACGGTTATCTCTACAGATGTGCAAAAACATTTGATAAATTTTAAACATATTCTAGACCATATTCTGTATAAAATAAGACTGGATAGATAATTTTTCAACATTATCTATATGGCTATAGAGCTTGATGGATAGATAGATAGATGATAGATAGATAGAGAGATAGATAGATAGTTGGGTAGATAGATGGATAAATGGATGGATGGATAGATAGATGGATAGATAGATAGATAGATAGATAGATAGATAGATAGACACATAGATACATAGATTTTTTTCAGAACAAAGACTAGACTCAAGAAAGTGATTTAACTGGACTGTCAGCGCTAAGGTTTACCAACTGACTAGCACATCATATTCAAAGCACTGCCAAACAGTAAATCCTACTCAGGGGTTCTTGTCAATTATAAAACATTCCTTTCCATAGCAGTATATGTAACCCCGACTGTCGTTCATGTGTTGAAATCAGACATTAACTTGCATCCTGCCCATAAATATAGCATTTACATTTTGGAGCTGGTGGGGGAATGGTCACAGGAGATCTTAAGTATTATTATATTTAAGAAAACATCATCAGTAAATAATGTAGCCTTCATACAATCATGCAAGGCCAAATAATGCTCCTTTTGCTTACCTGGGGTTCCTTTGTGGAAAGATAACTAATTCATTACTTATGCACACCTTGAAGAGTCATTCAATTAGAAGAGTTAGTATAAAATTTGTCTTTAGGGGAAGTAAAAAGAATTAAGATATATTATGTAGTACAACTCCCCACAATGAATGTAGTCATTATGTAGAGCAAACATGTACTAATAAAAATTTTTAGGCCAGGTATAGTGGCACATGCCTGTAATCTCAGCAATCAGGAGGCAGAGGCAGGAGGATCACCCCTGGTTCAAGGCCAGTCTGGGCTACATAGTGAGTTCAAAGTCAGCCTGAACTATATAGTGAGATGCTGTCTCAATTTTTTTAATTTTAAAAATAACATAAATTTTGTCCTGTACTTTAGCTGAAGTGATCAAGGATACCCCCTGAGCCTTGGAAGTCATGGTCAAGCTAGCTATGGATTATAGAATTGTCCTAGGTTTCCCTGTCATGGGTCAAAGAGGAATCTGTACAATCATTAATACATCCCGCTATACCTATACTAATACCAAGTGGGAAAATGGGAAGGTCAGTACAGAAACTTGAGGGGACCCTGGTGGCTATAGGATTTGTTTAGCTGATTGACCTGGAACCTGGGGATGTTGTGGAAGTTAGTATTATAGATTGCCTCATCCTCCAGCTTGGAGCCCTGTTACTAGTCACCTTAATTGTGGTAGCTTCATAGTATCCTCATATATGGCATGTGAGATGTACTAAATGAATTAAGTCCTACCTTGTTAGTCAGATTACTCAAATTAGCCAATGAAGTGGCAAACAATGGGGAAAATTATCCAGAAGTGAAAATAATATTAAATAAAGGGCAATATTGAGAGACAGCTTACATTTCTGTCTTGAAAACAGGCATTGATTGCCCTTTGTTTCAGACTACTTTTTAAGATGTTTCTATAATAAACAGTCTTGGAATGTAAGGAATGTTTCCCTGCAGAATAAGGATAGTGTTGGCTACAGCCTTAGAAGATAAAGATGTCACCCTCTGGGCAAAGATCAGGCACCTTACTAATATAAAATGCTCAAGTTCTCTAAGCTCAGGGTTCCTCTGCCATAATGTAACCAATTGCACGTACAGGCATCTATCTGGACCTCCCTGTGTCACTTTCGCAGGACCTGGGACCAAGGATGGCTCACACATTTATTGATAGCCATTATTGCAGTCCTGTGAGTAACAAAGTCATTCATCTCTGACCTGGGAATCTCATGTCTTCTGCCAGCATCCATGAATCTGTGGCAAGGTGTAGTATTAGCTCACAAGTAGGGTAAAATCTCAAGCTCTTCATACTTCTTGATAGTAATGGGATAAAGATGAACTTGTATAACCTAGTTTGCAAAGAAAATCATTTTTTTAAAAAATCAAAGTATTACAGATTTTGTCTTGTAAATATTTAAACTGTCTTGATATCCCTTAGATCTTATGTAATTTTCAAAGCCTTCCCATAAGCAGCCTCTAGATATGACCTCCAACCAATCTAGACACTTCCATTTCACAATTTATAATACTCTTTTAACTTCTATTTTGGATCCTGTTTTTAAAAGTCTTACCCCATTGGACATACAACTCTCCTCCCCGAGAGACAAAAGGCCTCCTTGCATGGCATTGATTTCTTCATTTACTTTCTGGGGATGTCAATAGACCTGGAACCTTGGAAATCAAATTCTCATATGACTCACTTATCTTCTCTTCCATTAATTCATTAACCAAATATCTTTAACCTCCTACACATTAAGTGCCCAGTGACTACTTACTAAATGATTAAATCCAAGTCCAGGTAGGAGATCACCACCAAACAAATCAACACTGAAATAAATATGTAAATATAAATTGTGAAAAGCACTATGAAGGGCAAGTTGTAGGAAAAAAGACAACACAGGGGCTGGGGATTTAGCTCAGCGGCAAAAGCGCCTGCCTGGCAAGCGCAACGTCGTGAGTTCGGTTCCCGGTACGGGAGAAAAACCAAAAAAAAAAAAAAAGAAAAAAAAGAAAAAAGACAACATGAACAGCAATACATGAAGTGGCATTTAATTGGGACTTAAGGAGAAATAAGGATTAACTGAGCAAAGGAATGGTGATAAGTGGTAAGTTCCAGGCAGAGAGAAAAGCTTTGGCTTTCTTTTGTTGGTCCTGTTCCTTTTTCCAAGTCATACCCCATGGCTGGCTGGAAAGGTTGGTTTTTCCTTACAAGAGATTCCATTTCTCTACTCTTTATTCTAAGGTGGAG